GGGGTCCCATCCTGCTGAACAAAGGCGTTTTTTCCTCTTGGTCCATTTCAAACCCTCCTGTTTCTTTCGGTAAGTGTTTCACGGTGCAGTTGTTCTGGAAAATGTATGGGTTTCAGCGTCCCCATTGTTTAACGGAAGTGCTGTCCAGGTGCAGGTGTGTGGGCAGATGACAGCCTGTGTCTTTTGGAGATACTGGCGCGGGCAGGTGACCTCCAGGCCCAGCCTATTTTAAGAGGAAGACTCCTTATTGAAGCAAAACTTACCACTTTCTCTTCCTGGTCCCCCAAAACCAGAGAATGGAAACAGGGCCAATTACATGTACACTGGAGGGACTGTTTCTGGGGGCCTAATGCACCTAAGTCGGAAACACATTAGGATATATTCCTGGAGGGAGAGACAGTGCTGCTTGGAGCATCACTAGGGTCCGGGGTGTGGCCTGCAGCATTCCATAGCATGGCTTGAATGTAGCTCTAGCCTCTCAACTTCATTCGTATCCCATCTGTTTTCCAAAGACTGCTTTTGCAGCCCTTCGGTGAACACGAGCTCTCTTTATCATCCAATTAATTCCTTTTTAGTCTGTTTTAACTGGAACCAAATTCTATTGCTTGTATTCCAGAATCTTGAACGGTGTTTAAATATTACCACGGAAATATTTAAATAATCCCTACTGAATTTCTTTCAATTTGGTGAAAACAAAAAGTACTCTTTTTGGTATGGGGGGAAATGCTGGGGAACATGAGGAGAAGTCTGGGTACTAAAAGGTCAAAAAACACACTTAACTGTCCTAACCATTGTCCTGGCAATAGTCACTGTGAAAACTTTACTGTCCCTCTGATAGCTGCTCATACATTTTGAAAGTAAAAAAAAAAGACCTTCATTTTCAGGGGGATTATGATGAAATGGTTACTTTCTAATTTTTTTTAATTAAAACACATTTTCCTATACTGATTTTGTTTGAAATGCTGGAAACTTTATTGAGGCTTTGAAAACGAGAGTGGGCTATCTGAATGGAAGGGCCTTTTTCCCACTCAAGTGTGGAGATTTGGCTAGTTTCTCCCCTTTGTTTCCCAGTATTAAGTGCTGTTATACCTCTGCAAAGTCCTTGAGTATAAACAGAAATTTCTGTACTTATGTTTGTAGTTCTTTTTGTCTTCAGGATATTTTGTCTCTACCTTTCTTTCAGAAGATGTGTTAGGTGTATGTAAATATGTGATTTGGTTGATAGTTAAATACTGGATATGGAGAAGGACTGAAGAACTATCTCTAAAGCCAAATATTAGCACTTCTCCAAGCTATTGGGAGACATTTCAGTCATCTTGAGTAGAGGCTCTGTGTCTCAATAGCAGGAAAGGCTATTCTCAGCTTTTATATACAACCTGGTAAACTGAATCCTTTTGATTCAGTGGCTCTTCCCACTCCCATGATGCTGGTGGTAAATCTCCAGGTAGTCAGAAATTCTCCATCAGTCTCTGCCTCTGTGTTTTTCTGTGACCTCAGAGAGGAAACTTCTACAAAAGGATAGGCTACCTAGTAGTCAACGGTTTACTTGGGTCACAGGCAGAGCACCTTCCCGTTCCCTGCTCCTCCCTCCTGGGTTTTTAATCAACCACTAGGGTCCTGTGAGCCTTCAGTGAGCTAACACATCAGAGTACTCAGCACCCTGAGTGACTGGTCTGTCTTTTAGTCAGCCAGTGTTTACTCTGCACATACATGTGTTAGCACTCTTCTGGTTGCTGTGGGTACAGCACCAAACAACTCATATCCGTTCTCTCTGATCTCCTGATGTTCCCATGTAGAAGAAAGGCAATAAACTTGGGAGAAAGATGTGTAAATATTGATGGGGATGTTATATTAAGTAAGGTGGCCAGGAAAGGCCCTTTGTGGGGAAATGACATTTGAAGAGATTTGAGTCTAGTGAGGCTGAGTAATGTGAATCTGGGTTGGGAGTTGGGGAGGTTCCTGGTTTAGTGACAGGAAGTATAAAAGCAAGGCAGAGGGTGTGATTTTTTTATTTGGCGAGCACGGAAGGCAGGCGTTGCTGAGATGTAGAGAGCAAGTGAAGGAGATGCGAGAACTGAGAGGGAGGCGGCCTGTGACCAGATCACTTGATAGGTTTAATTGTCTCTCAAGACTAACAATATGTCACATACATGAAAAATAAATTTATTATGATTATAGCATTTAAAGTTTAGACATGTGCCTAAGTGAAAATGTTATAATTATACATTAAAATGTTTCTTTTATTTTTTACCATTTTTAGATAATGATAGAATTTTCTATTTTTATAAATATATAAAAAATATATTTTATGGATATAGAGAAATGTAATATAGATATATAGCATGAACATTCTTCTGAACTGTCCTTGTTGAGTGTATTTGAACCAGGAAAACTAGCAATCTGACCAACAGTGAATGTGAATGAACAAACACAAAGAAAACTCTTAGACTGAGTCATTTCTTAAGGTCAAATCCAGCATTATTTTTGAATATGAAATGCATGTGAAATGCCCTTTAGAGATTGTCTCTTTAAACCAAAGAAAATAAAAAATAAATAACTTGTATTTGTATTTTTAGTGGGCATTAACCTTCAGGGAATTGAAAGAGGTTGGAGACTGAAGAGTCATTTTATGTGAAACTAAATGTATTGAGCCAATTAGATGGTAGACATTTTACCTGTGCTTTTTTTAGTATAACCTTTCCTCCACCTTTATATAGTCTGGCATACAAGCTCTGAATACAGGTAGATATCTTGGTCCTGCAGAACATAAAATTAATATGGATATGCTCCCAAAATATATGCTATTCTTTTCCCAAGTTACATAAACAAACAAACAAAAAGTCAGGCTTGGGGTTACCAAAAACTACCTAAATTATTTAAAATTAATACCCTTGGCTTTGCCTGGTCTAACACAAGGTGATGTCACACTTAGAATTCAGAGAGAAATGGCTCCACTAATTAAATATTTTGCAGAAAAATGACTTTTCTTTTTAAAAAGATGATACTTTACTCTGGATGGGGGTATGGTAGATATCAACCTTAATACAGGAGGAATTTCTTGAAGTTCTAATCTGCATATTTCATGGGCATAAATTCTGCCAAAACTGTAGAGATTGTCCCAATTTTATAAATGTCTGCTGTGAAGGTCTGAGCAACTCTGTTGCTGTCTCCTCAGCACCTGCCAAAGCCAACTCCTCCCTCCTCATCCCTCCTCTCTGCACACCCCCAAAGCAGCCGCTGAGTCAGCCGCCACTAGAAGTTTTCTCTGGAAAGGTTTTCATTTGAAACTTGCCTACGACAACCATTTCTAGTTAGTACAATGCTAGATGTGACAGTATTTAATTTGGAGCATCAGAAAAGAGAAGTCAGAGTGGATGCAAACTGTCAAGAATAGCAGCCTGGAATTTCCGGGGCTTTTGCAAGGCTGTAGAACCTATACAAAGGGACTTCTGTTGTTAAAGGTAGAAAGTACTTTAATTCTAGTTCTGGGACATTAGAAAATGTAGAAGGCATTCCAGAGCCTTTTCTAATATGGAACATACCCTTAGAATAAAAAGCAGGACATTTTAAGTCAGAAACAAAGAAAATGATGTAGAAAAGACATTTAGAATGTGATTCTTTTGGGCAAGGGTTAGCCTTCTACCTGGAAAGATATTATCAGTAGCCATGAGGAACGGTCTGTGGTTAAAAGTGAAAACATAAACAAATAACTTAGAAAAAATGCCCCTATAGTATACCTAAGTGACCAAATGTCCTATGAGTTTACTTGATGGGCAAAAAATTTTCCTGTTTTCTCTACGAATTTCTTATTTATGAATTCTTTATGAAACAACTCTTCAGTTAAGTGAGTGTAGAAATGCTTACAAGTAATCTGGAAAGCATGTTTTAGCGTTTGTGTAAACATTGGTTTCTTGGGTCCTACCCCTGTTTCAGACTTGAACGTGGGCCTTTCCAGTTTGATTACTGCTGTGTATAGAAATCTTACAGATGCAGACGTATGACTATGATTAATTAATACAAACTACCTAACAGAGCACCTGGCATGCAGTAGTACTGCATCAGTACCACTGTCCCCGGACTTGAGCAGCCTGCAATAGCATCCAATCTTCCAACTGTTTTTTCAGTGGAAATTTGTACTGGGTTTGTGCATATTGAAAACTTGGTGCTGAACCAATTCAGTTTTTCCTTGAAATAATCATTGGCGTATCATACACATGATAGGGCTGATACATTTAAAATCAACCCAATCGAAATGAATCTGTTTTGCATTTTTTCAAACCATACGTGTAGGTCTCGACTGCATAAAAATGTAAAATATTACTTTAAATTACAGCCCTATTTTACTGTTACACAGCCCAAGCGCTGTTCTGCACGTAAAAGAAAGTCTATAATTATTATAATTGCTTGTCATCATCAGATGCTTTCTAATCATTAGTTGCTATATGAATTATAAACATGTTGACGAATAGAATAGTCACCATTAACATCATGGTCAATTGTAGGTTTCTTATAGTTAATGAAGTTTTAAAAAAGGAAATTCATGAATCTTCTCTTAGGAACTTGTGTTTTATTGATCTCTTAAAATGTCTTGTGGATTCTATTATTAGAGGATAATGATAGTATTAGGGTGAAAAAGACAGTCTGAGAAATGTGTACTTGAATCAGTAAAACCTGGGTAGTTGTGCCTAATGACAGGTTGTATAATGGTATTTGTATAGAGTATTTCCTTTGACTATGTTGTTCTTCATCAGTTCACCAAACAGAAAGAGAAAAAAATCAACCTGGCATGACTGGAGCTGAGTTTTTAATATCTCTTATATAGAAACTTCGAGCTGCTCAGGAAAATGGTGTCTTCCAATGTGCACAAACCCAGTACAAATTTCCACTGAAAAAATAGTTGGAAGATTGGATGCTATTGCAGGCTGCTCAAGTCCGGGGACAGTGGTACTGATGCAGTACTACTGCATGCCAGGTGCTCTGTTAGGTAGTTTGTATTAATTAATCATAGTCAACCATGTGTTTACAGAAGAGGATACTGGAGCTTAGAGAAGTGAGGTCAGTGTTCCAAC